TCATTCTCTTGAATTTTTTTTTTTTGTATATTAAATTTGAATGCGTTCGTTCAATATCACCTGTTTTTTAGTGATGATGAGGTCTATGGTGTTATTGAATAACCTAATTAATACGTCCTGTACATTCATTCATTCATTGACTATATTAAATATGAATTTCCCAACTGCATGATTACATGAATGATGAACATTATAGGTATCCGAATGACACAGATTTCCTTATTAGAAATGACGATTACGTCAATCTTATGCATACTCACTATTAAACATTTAAAAGGTGATAAGGTATTGGACTTGTATCGATCCATACATTCAGATAACAGTTCAACCACTGCATTAAGGGGGAAAGGGATTATTAGCGATAGAGTCTAACAGCCCCATTGCTAGCAATGTTACTAATCACGTCAACCTCCACGTGGTTTCCCCTGGAAACCATCGTGGTTACTTCTCGTGGAATTCTTCACGATGGGTTAACTGGTAACTCACTGGTAATATCTCTCATTGTTAACAATATACCCAACCAGGTCGACCTCCTTGCGGTTCTCCCTGGAAACTATCATGGTTAATTCATGACGGGCTAACTGACCTGTTTTCATTCTCGTTATCACCCTCACTGGTGTCCCGCCAGCATATACCGTTAGCGCAAGCAGGGTTACCATTTTATTATCACCCATTTAAAAAAAAAAACACTGCATTATGCTTAATCGCAATATTTCTTCGATTTATTAATGTCTGTATTCAGATGTACTTTTCAAAAGACTTCCAAAAGAAGGAAGCTCATAATTCATCTATATTTTTGAAGCTGTCACCTTAAAACTTCTAATTTCTAGATTTTATATCTAATACTTGGAATGACAAACAAACTGATATGACGAGCACTGCAAATATCACAGAATAGAATGTAATATTCACTGTAATACTAACTATTCAAATTTGTTCAGCCGTTTAATAAGTACCTAACAAACATAATAAACTATCACGTTTATATTAAGAGAATAAGATTACAGGATATTTAGATATTAATTATTAAACAAAAATCATAAACAATCGAACGACCCACGTGATGATGGTAGCCGTAACCCACGTACGCTCAGGTTATGGAATGAGTTTCCTATTGTATTGAGGTCTTTCCAAGAGACTACAGAATGTGGTTCTTAAAAAAAGGGTAAAAAGGTTTCTTTAGAGGCGACAACGTGCACCTAATGTCCCTGGTATAGTAAGTGTTCATGAGCTACAGCAACCGTTTTCCGTCAGGTGGGCCGTATGACTGTTTGCCACCTCAGTGGTATAAAAAAACTGTAGCCTATAAACATAAACAGCACCATAGACACCTTGGAATATTTTTATTGATTTTTTTTTGTCAAATTCATTAGATCATAGATTACAAAATACGGAAATATTTTAACACCTCATTCCTCTAGTACGGCAACGCAAAAAAGCCGCAGTTTAAAAATTCAAAATTCGAATAATTTTTATTCAAATAGACTTGTATTTATTATTATTATTTAGACCTGCATTCATAAAAAATTACGATGTGTCGATAACGATTTAAGCACTTTCTTTATGAATGCAGAGTTCGGAAAGTTATATATAGAGAAGAACCCGCAAGAAACTCAAAAGTTACTCTTTTAAATCTCTGTTAACATTATGTGTATTTATTTAAATGTTACAATAGGTAAAAAATTACATGATTACCAAAAAGACCGTAAAGTATTCTCTAATGTATTTAATGCTGTTCATGTCAAAAAGAAATAATTAACACATTTTAACAATTTGGTAGGCAGTTCGTTTATAATTCTAAGTTACATAAAAAAAATATAACTTTATCTAACCTAATATTATAAAAAGGAAAGATTTTTATCTATTTGTAAGAAATTAACTTAAAAACCACTGGACCCATTTCAATAAACTTTTACCATTAGAATGCTACGTTATCCCAGAGTAACGAAAACGACAGGTTATTTTCGAAAATTTTATACGAGTATTATTATAAAGTCCTTTGGCACTCTATTACTTCCGTCTACAATGACGAATTTTTTACATATGGATAAATTGTCATAGAAACCTACACGCTTCAGGGACGGCACATGTTTTTTTTAATAGATAATATTGAAATAGTAACCCCGCCTGCGCATTACATACAGGACGCCAGTGAGGGATAATAAAAGAAAATGAAGCAAGTAAGTTAGCCCATCGTAACGAATACACCTTGAATTCAGCACGATGGTTTCCAGGAAGGACCACGCATTATTAACAATCCGTCCCCCCTCCCCTCTTCCCGACGGCGTAGTTACTTGATTCCTTCTGATAAAAAGCTATAGAATGCCCTAAATTAGACCATGGACAGTATTATATTATCTATGACCATGGCGAACCTAGAATGAAGATAGATAGCCTATTCGCCTATCACGTCTACACCTTACTAATCACTCATCATATCCGGTACAGTTACCAATATTGAAATTATGTTTAATGTCTAATGGAATGAATAAGTACTAAGATATGGTTTAGTGTTTGCGTCGCCTTATCAGATAATAACTTTAGTTTCCTATAACATCGATAACGGAACCGTTAAATAAACCGACCATCTTAACGATAAACTTGTGCTCAAATACTGTAAGCATAAAAAGATGGAGGTATCAGTTGACTTCGTATATATGCCGCTCTAAAGTACATTTATGCCTTAAAAATATAACTGAACACAGAAGTGTTTTCTGTATCCAGTTAAACATAACACAACATTCAATACAAGGAAATACTTTGTGTTACCGATAAGAAATACAATAATTACTTCTTTGTAATTTATCTCCTATTGTTTATATATATATATATATATATATATATATATATATATATATATATATATATATATATATATATATATATATATATATATTGTAACAGCTTGAACTGAGAATGCCATTGCTAGCAATATACCCAACCAGGTCAACCTTCTCGCAGTTCTCCCTAGAAACTATCATGGTTAATTCCTGATGAATTCATCATGATGGGCTAACTGGCCTGTTTTCATTCTCATCTATCACCCTTCACTGGTGCTCCGCCAGCGTATCTCGTACCGTACCATTTTCACCCATCAAAAAAAAACCGAACTTAAGTTTTGTACGACGTTACAGCAATTCTTTGCAGCAAATTTAGCTTTCACTTACAATTGTCTCTAAAATCCACTAAACGTGCTTCGTCCTTGCAAACGTTCTTCCCAAAATCAGTACTTTTGTTTTTGTGGAATGTTATTTGTTAAATATTATTCATATTTAAAGATTCAGCACAAACAAAGCGGCAACAACAATCATACCAGAGGGAGACTTTATACAAAAGTCGATTGCTTGTGTACCTGTCCCATTCGTGATTCAACCGTGAAGCAATTGTGTTTGCATGGCTGTGTTTCGGTTTGAAGGGTGGGATATGGCGTGAATTTACTGGGTACAAAGGAATAACACCTGAGTCCTCAGGAATGGCAACGCATGGGGGTATCATGGGCGAAACAGTATACTCTGTTATGTCCATGGTACTGCCATGTCTATAGGCGACGGTTATCACTTTCCACCAGGTGGACCGTCAGCTTGTTTGCCATTCTAAGTTGTAAAAAAAAATATAGGTAGTTTTTAGAGTCTGTACTGTTCAAGTATTACTACTTGAAAGATTTCTCGGATAAAATCACAGAAAGGATGATAATATCATTGTAATACTTAAGATAAAATGCTCATAACACACTTGAAATCACCATTGGAGATATACAAGAGAGTTTACATCTTATTAACAATTACAGACGTAGAATATTGTAGAATAAAGATAAATAATATTTTTAATGATACTGGATATATAATCTTTTAAAATTGTTTTTCCCCTTGAACAAAAGATCAGTGTTATCTCGCCAGCATGATATCGAGCATCGATTAATGTCAGGGAGATAGATAATAGCGAAGTTTGTACCTATAAGATTTGTCTTTATTTACTTCAGTGTTTTAAGTGAATAAACAACTTATAACATTATTACTATGTTTAAAAGTCTATATCATTGAAATAAAGACGTTTTCTAACCAATAAATCTGACAGTTCACAATTACTGTCGTATAATTGCGTCAAATACTGTGAGGAGAACCGTATGCTCATTTGCCCCCTATGTTATAAATAAATAAATAAATAAAAAAGCTACATTACGAAATATAATCTGCCATAAAATAGATATTCAAAATTTGCAATTCTTAAGACTTGAGTGAATATACGAGAATACTCGTCTATTCGTGGTTTTGTTGACTGATAATTGAATTCCTTTCTCGTGGGTGTCGTGAGAGGAGACTAAGGCAACTTAATGATAAAGGGATAGACAGCATAGACAGTGTGTCTCTTAAAAGATCATCAAAACCTAGCTGCGGTTGCCAATCCGCTTGGCAAGCGTAACTAAAAAAAAATCCAAGGCAAAATCCTTCCAATGGTAAGTTGCCATAGGAAACGGCCCCGTACCTTATGACAGTTTATGGGGGAGATAATGGTTGATATGATGATGATGAATGCAATGGTAACCCCGCTTCTGCTATCGGTACATACTGGCAGGGTACTAGTGAGAAATGACAAGTAAGAATGAATGTATCCTACATTTACCCTATCAGATCGATTTCCACGCGGTCTCCCCTGGACACCACCATGGTTAATTATTAATGAATTGATGGCCATCTGATCTGCCTAATCCTCACCTATAACTCCTCACCGACAGCCCCCCAGCATGTACCTATAACACTGGCAAAATTACCATTTCATCGTCACCCATAAAAAACCCGTCAATAACAGAAGTTGTCTCTCTTCATTTTTAAGATTTCTACGTAAATTCATGGAAAAATAGAATCGATTCAGTTAAAAATAGATCAAATAAGGAAACGCTAACAAAAGCCACGTGTTGAAGGATCGAAGGGCGGTTTGTTTGCTATGCGCTTGACCGATTGCTGGAGGTCAGTCGAGCCGAGATGTATCGGAACTACAGATGGGCAAAGCACCGGGTTTAAACCCGGTGCTTTGGTAAAAACCCAATAAACACCCATAAACTCCCATAATCACCCAAAAAAATAGGTTTTTACGTATTTTTTTGAAAATATGTAAGTAATACCAATAAATTATTTTTATAAATTGTATTGATCAATTCTACAATATTAAATAAAACGTTAACTAATAATATTTCAGGAAATTTTAAAAATCTATATATAATAAAATGAAAGTAATTAATTTTCAGTGTTTTCATGTTGCAGTTGATCAACATGTTGGCCTTTTGCTTCCCGTAGATACTTTAAAATTTCTTCATAACACCTCGTTCGCACACATGGCCGTATATATTTAAATTCTTGAGCCACTAACAGTCCGAAATACTCATTTCTTTTATCCTCTTCTCCATAAATTAAGCATTTAGAACAGTTTGTTTCTTCTTTCAGTAAATTTTCTTTTACTTTATCCTCGTTTTTTTCTTTGTTGCGACGACGCTGGGTAAATCATCTGGACACTGGGTCTCACTATCGCCAAATATATTTGGAGATCGGCTTCGGCTACGGCTTGGCAGACATTTTTTTCTTTCTACAATTTTAAATTAAATTTATTAGAATAAATGCTTCGAACACACGCGATCTAAGTACCTTTTGTGTTTATTATACCTTACCTACCTAGGTATAAAAAGAGTACTTACGTAGATTTTCTTTTATTAACTGTTTTATACGAAGATCTTGATCTCTCAAATTAGCATCCATTTTACTTCCAGTGATTATCAACTAAATTAATAATCCACAAAGTATTAAATAACGTTTTTATGAAATATTTAGCACAAAAACAATACCCTTTAAATATCGATCGTCAGTAACTGTGGCTGACTTACCTATATTCTAGCAAGCAGGACTGCCAGATGTGAAGGGGAAATCCCCAATAAATTGTTGCATGTGACTGATGATGTGAGCATGTTCGTTTCATAATAAAAATGTTGCCAGGTAACCAAAAAGTCGTATGTTTTTGTGCGAATTACGATCATAATCTTTACGATCGTACATTAAAAAATAGACAAATAATAGTATGAGTACGATTTAAATCGTATATCTGTCAACCCTGCTAGCAAGACAGCGACAAAATCACGTTGCATAACAATGTAGCCCAAGCTTATATCTTATGAAATATACGGAAGAGATACGGACTTAGAAAAAACAGAAATGTTGTTCTTTGTGGAAGTCATTGATGAAATTCTATGTATTTTAGCCCGCAAACTTTCTTCAAACAAAAACAGCGCCATCTAGTATCGAGTTCTGTAATTATCTCTTTGTTTATGGATTTGAAGTAAGACCGCCACGCATGCAATACATTATGACTGGGGATTCCCCTATTCGTCGACGCTGAATATGAGGCGACGACAATCACTGTCAAACGTGTTCACTATTACTCTGACTCTGGTAACGTGACTTCCTGGTAACGTGTTAGGTAGGAAAAGCAGTAAAAAAGTGCATATTAAGGGAGCAGATTTGAAATAATATTTATACTTAACAAGAAATAATTAAAGGTAAGTGGATTTTTGAATGATACAATTATATCATGATCACTTAACAATTTTAACTTAAAATTAGATGTATTATTACAAGCTTTTATTTAGCTTGCGTTATGTAAATAAAAGTATGTAGGTATGTTCGTATGTTGATGCAATTATCCTCAATCCTCAACCGACTGGGATAAAATTTTCCATACACGTTTATTTTGGATGATAGTGCATAGTTAGCTGAGAGTCGTCATTGGATAATAATGGTGGATAGCCTAAGATGTGTACTAGATATTTATTTTTAACATAATATGCGTAAGTACCTAATCGAATTAAAGAAGTTGCTGAGAAAAATACAGAACAATACGATAATAAACTAGCGTCTGCGTTTAATCCTCCGAGGAGATGTAATTTTACAAAGGTTTTTTGTATTTATTTTATTATTTTTTTAATAAATTTATTGTAAATAACAAGAAATAATCATTGTAAAAAAATAGGCACTCTATTGTTGAATTTTCGTCAGACCAACTAATCATCGTTCATTTTTTTAGGTTCAATGGGGAGACCTAAAGATTTACGCATATGGGAGCACTACCGTACTTTACCAAACAAGTCTGTTTCTTGCAAGCTTTGTAATAAGGTCTACAAATTCAGTAATGCTGCCAAAATGCTTCAACATCTTATCACTTGTCCAAAATCTCCAGAAACATTAAAAGACTCTATGAAACTTATAAAAGATAGCTCGTCCAAAACCAAAATGTCTGGACTGTCAGAGATAGAGACAAATGATTCTTTTATAAGCCCCTCGTCGTCTGCTAACACTACAATAAATGCTGAGTTTCAAGACACCGATGATCATATAAAAACAGAATTAGCGAGAGCTATATTTGTAACAGGGACGCCATTATCGATGGTGCAACATCCTTTATGGATACAATTTTTCGAAAAATTGCAACCAAAATTTAAAATACCTTCACGTAAAGCTTTAGCGACAAAATACTTAGATAAAATATATAGAGAAATGCGTTTTGAGTTAAATGAGGAACTAAATGCTTGTAGTTACTTACACCTTCAGTGCGATGGCTGGTCTAATTTAAGAAATGAAGGAATAATAAACTTTCTTATATCAAAACCTCAACCTGCATACGTTAAAAGTTTGAATACAGAAAGTAATCCTCACACTAGTGAATACCTTAGCCAAGAAGTTGAAAAAGTAATGAAAGTGTATGGAGCAAATAAGTTTCTTGTACTTATTGGCGATAACGCTAGAAATATACAAAAGGCATTCGAATTAACAAAACTCAAATATCCACATGTTGTTCCTCTCGGTTGCTGTGCACATATCCTTAACTTGTTGTGCCAAGATATTGTAAAGATACAAGAAGTAACTGTGTTTATTATGCAAGCCATAAATATAATAAAAACTGTTAAAAGGAGTCAACGATTAAGTTCCTTGTTGATAAAATCAAGGCAGGGTGAAGATTCTACACAAACACTAAAATTGCCTTGTGCTACAAGATGGGGAAGTCATGTTACTTCGTTAAAAAGTTTGAAAGCAAATAAGATAGCTTTGCAAATATTAACAGTTAGAGAAGATGTGGTAATTTCAAGAGATATTAAAGATTTAATTCTAAGTGATGATTTCTGGACGAAGACAGGGGAATGTATAAGTATTTTGGAACCAGTCACTGAAAGCATATTTTACTTAGAGAGCGACCAGAATCGTTTGCATCGCACATACATTACATTTAGAGATGTACAAGCTAAGATACGTTTTGCATTAAATGAGATTTCGACATTGAGCGAAGAAAGCAAACAGCAGATTCTAACATCAGTATCTTCAAGATGCAATATGGCAATGAGGCCAATACATTTTGCAGCATATATTCTAGACCCCAGGACTCTAGGAGTCGAACTTACTCAAGAGGAAGAACTTAAGGGTATGGAGTTTATCTACAATTTAAGCCAACACTTAAGTTTGTCAAATGTAATGGCAGATTTGGCGTGTTATAAAGCTAAAGAAAACTTTTGGGCCAGAGGATTTGTATGGAGCTCATTAGATAGCATTGAGCCCCTAATATGGTGGAAAGGTATTTGTGGTTCCACTGAGTTAAGCAAAGTAGCGATTCGTATTCTATCAGCTCCCTGTACTTCGGCAGCCACTGAGCGTTCCTTTAGTATCCAAGGCTACATACATAATAACAAAAGAAATCGACTTACAACTGAAAGAACTGAAAAAATTTCATTCATTTGTTATAACTGGAATCTTAAACATAAAGCTGAATGCGAGGACATTCAGTTTAATGAAGAAAATACCTTAGAAGCTTTCATTGAGCAAGTAAATGAACATAACAGTTTAGACGAAATAGAGCCTATCGAACCTATACAATTCATCGCTTGTAATAACTCTGAATCTGACAGTGATTGACTGTAGTTTTACATTTTACTTTCATCTCTTTCTTAATAAACTCAAAATCAAATTAAAAGTTTTTTATTCTGTAGGCTGCATAATAATATTGTCTATGTCCAGTATAGTGGACGTCTTGCGGCTGAGATGACGATGATGAAGTACAAAATCATAAACACCCAAAAATTTGGGTGTTTATGGGGTTTAAACCCAATAAACCCAAAACACCCGGTTTTTACCCACCAGACTTTAAACCCACCCAGGTGGATTGCCCATCTCTAATCGGAACGCAGATAAAATGTGTAACCGATTTTATCCGACGTGGAATTATTATTATTATTTTATTTTGAATATAACGAATGAATGAAAACTCTTTAAAGATTAACAATATGTATACAAACAAAATGAATACTTAATTTTATAAACTTCATTACATGAAAGCAAGATAAAGAGGTAACAATACAGCCTTAATGCTAAATAGCGATTTCTTCCAGGCAACCATAAGATGGAAAGGAATAATTAAAATTTTGTCTAGTCAAGGCGTAATAGAAAAGTAATAAGACTAAAAAAGGGAGATAAAAAAAAAGGCTTCATATAATTTTTATATGTGTTCTAAGTTGCATAAAAAAAATACTGCGGCACGTTCAGTTATTAAATAGTATGAGAGACTCGAAACTTTTTGCCATTTTCAATACAGTTCATAAACGCAGTAGTTCTCAATTCGGTTGTATATTTTATGTTTGTTGCCTCATTAACTTCGTCAGTTCAAAACCGATTTCGATTTTTTTTTTTTTTATCTGAAAGAATACACTTACAGATTGGTCTCATAGAAATTTTAACAAAATCAGTTCAATTGTTTAGTTTTTAGATCACAATAACTGGTTTTGTCACAATTGATATATTTTTTTTAAGACAAAATCTTTAATTGTTAAATTTTTGATTCACTTAATTTCTGTTCTAATATAATTGCATAGGCAATTATTTAACGTCTTATTCATAAAGACGTCGAACCTCTCATAAACCCATTTCAGCTATTGAACTCTTGAGCTTTTGTCTCTTTCTTTTGTACTAAATTCCTAATTTGAAAGAAAGTGACAAAACAGTGTAATAGTTTGTTGGAGGTTTTAGTTTTTATGACTAAGGGCGTTAGTTTCTCATATACCTAACAAATGTTAAGTTTATTCTTGCACTTTATATCTCGTTATTGTTATCTGTGTATTTTAACACTAATTGGTTGCCTTGTATTTGCGTAGTCATGGAAATGGGGCACTGGTGACTTGTAACACAGGTTCCTCGAAACCTACCGCAAGCACCAGTCTTTCACAAAATTGGTGTTCACATCAAATTGTACCTCAAGTTGTCACTTTATACTACCTTTTGTGAAGAGAAAATAAACCATTCATTCATTCATTCATTCAAACAACTTCGATGTCATTCTGTATAATAATTATTAAATCCATAATTATCCATTATCGTTCATTAAGTAACATTCCTAAGGTCATATAGGTCGCCTCCGCATCGAAAATCCAACAATGCATCATCATTACCATTATTACTACCATTACCATCGAACAATACATATTTCTTGGGGGGAAAGGGATTGTTAGCAATAGAGTTTGACAGCCCCATTGCTAGCAATATGCTCTATTAGGTCGACCTCCACGTGGTTCCCCCTGGAAACCATCGTGAACAATTCTTGTTGAATTCGTCACGATGGGCTAACTGACCTGCTTCATACTCACCTATCATCCTTCACTGGTGCCCCGCCGGTGTATGCCGATAGCGCGGGCGAGGTTATCATTCCATTATCAACCATTTATGTGGTTAATGAGTAGTTTCTATTCAAATTCAGGTACATTAGGGATAATTTGTATAATTATATTTATAACTGATAACGTAAGTATCTTGTTTATTGTTAATAGATAACATTGGCAACAATAAAATGGAACTGATGAATGATGGTAGATGGAAATATTTTTAAATATTTCCATTAAATCATGTAACTTAACATAGAAATTACAAAAATACATTCTTACGTCTGGTTATGATTATAATTAAAAGAATTTTATCTACATATTTAAAAAAAAAATGTTTTTCATTGTTTGTTGTTTCTTAGTACTAATAAATAGGGCCAAAAAATAATAAATATATAATAATAAGTACTTTTTTTTAATGGGTGATAATGGAATTGTAAGCCAGCCTGCGCTATCGGTATACACTGGCAGGACACCAGTGAAAGATAATCAATGACTATGAAGCAGGTCAGTTAGCCCATCGTGACGAATTCAACAAGAATTGTTCACGATGGTTTCCAGGAGGGACCACGTGGAGGTCGACCTAATAGGGTATATTAACAATCTCTTTCCCCCTAAATAAGTACTAATACTATAGTGTTTCCACTTCTTATTGTACCTACGCACATTGCGCGCTGGTAATCAATGCTCCTTTCAACTCAAGTTTTGCTGGAAGAGAATTCTAGCAGAGTCAAGCTCGCCTATTGTAATCTTAATTTAATTTAGACTTTAACTATGTAATTTTTGTGTACAATAAAGTATATGTAAATAAATAAAAAGTTCCGAATTAAAATCCGAATTTTGGACTCAATTTCATGTTTTTTTTTTTTTATATCGAAATCAGTCCAGAGTTTAACATTTGGTTCGTCAAAAATACTACCATAAAAGTCCAAAGGAACAATATTTTAATATTTATTTTAAACGATATGTATCGTGTCATCAATCATTATATCAATCAACATCAAATTTGTGTTTCGTTTGGCCGCGAAATTTTGGAAAACATTTTATAGTAGACACTCTGATACATTTACCGACACGTAACGTTTGACATGTCCATTACACATTTTGTGTGTTCATTTCAATGTGGCAGGCAACGATCATGCTGCAGTCTTTAGTTTAATAGAATTTGTTAATGGTGTTGTCAATCAACGGAAAGTTGAATATTTTAATCGACATAAACTACAAGCGATTATTAGATTTAAACTCATAACATTAAAGGTATATATAGTCTAGGTGATAAAAGTACAGGGGCAGGTCTAGGCAGTAAGTAAAATAATAAAATTAACATTCATAGATTATGTTTTATAATGAGAAGTGAAACGAAAAACTTATTTAACGATAAGAAGCATTATTTGCCGCGACTCGCCACCATTTGATTGTGTTAATCAAAGATAACGCGCGCCAAATCGACCCGATAAACGGAACCATCGGTTAGGGCATCTCCACATTATCCTATTGCTTCTCAACAATGATCCACCTGAATCGCCGCCGTTGGACATTCTGCAGCGCAACGAACAAATCTATCCGTCCCGCTCGCTCGCGTCCCGCGCAAGATGCGCCCTCCTTCTCCGCGCGCCCCGCCAGCCGACCAATAGCGGCCATCTTTTGCTCCCCCGAGAGCAAGCGACAGTGCGTTCTCTCATCACATAAGCACAAAGAGACGCGATCTCGCCGCGTGAGGTTGTCGCCCGCTCCGGGAGACGTGAGTTCTACGCAACCCGCAACGTCAATATTTATAGTGCCTTCAAACTTTTAAGTGTTTTAAGACTGTAAATTCTGTGCTCAAATAATTATAGTGTTTTGTGAGAGACTGGAGTTGGTGAATGAACATTTTCTCAATATCGAACGTCTTCAGATAGCGCGAAAATTATTCACGATTGGGTAAGTACAAATTCGATTGATGAACTGAACGGTGCAAATTGGCGATATGTGATCGTTGGTGTCATTGTCTTTTATCGGATCCCCTAGCTGTGCCTTAGTAGTAACTAGTTGGCCGAGCCGTACAATATTACCCACGTCCGTACGACGTATATTGACCCTTACCGCATCCGCGCCGTATTTTTGCGCAAAACGCTAGCTTTTTTCCCCTTTTTATTTTTTTATTTGTTGTGATATTATTTTTAACGTATTATTATTTATTTATATTTATTATTTTATTTATAACATTTAATTTAATTACGTTCGTCGGTACAACTTTTACGAATTAAAATTTAATTCAAATTGGATGCCTAATCAATAAGTTTATGCGTCTTTCATTTACAATATTCGTATTCAATTTTACAATGATTTGTTCTGTAAAATAAATTAATTAAAAAAGTAAATATTTAATATTCTTTTTAATAAAATTAAAAAATATATATAGCGAATTATTATTCTCAGTTAGAATTTATAGCATCTATTTATTTTTATAAATATATACAAGTACTTATTAAATATAAAATGTATTTTTAATATTATTTAATTAAATAATTCATTTAAAACAACTGCAAATTTTGTTTTTATGAAATTAAAATAGATAAGTAATATTTATATTATTGAAATACCTTAACAATTAAATATTTAATATTGTTTAATAAATTATTACTACCTAAATTACAAAAAAAAACGGTCCTAATTAAAAACTTTTCCGTTTCGAAGTCGGTTAAAATATTTATTTTATATTTCCGTGTAATTGTGTCATTACATTTACTTTTATTTAAATAGTTCTAATTTTCATTCCACGAATAAATCACACTAAGTGCTAATTTTGAATTTGTTTTACATTTAAAATTATAAATAAATGAATTGCCCGTCACAACTTATAATAAAAAAAAACCTATTGGGTATTATAATTATTTAATTTTGCACCTAAAATGCAAGTTATATCTAAAATATTTTAATCTTTACAATTTGTTGCAATCACTTACACAATTAAACTAATTATGGAACGCTAATGATATTAATTAGCTAATTATGTGCATGACTCACCTGTGAGACACCTAATTGATTTGAAATGGAATACCAATGGCGAAATTCCTAGTGAAAATGTATTCCGAAAATCTAATAATATTTAAACACCTACCTTTGCACATTTCTAAAATACTAATAACATGTTTTTGTTGTTTCTTACTTATTTAATTGACTTAATTATTACTGGACTGTTTTTAACAAAATTTCTGTAAGTATATAATTTATCCTTACAGATAAAAAAATAATTTTCCAAATCGGTTTAGAACTGACGGATTAATGAGGTAACAGACATAAAAAAAAATACAACCGAAATGAGAATTTATTACTTTTTGAAGTCGATTAAAAAGTAATTAGTATTTATGCTTGTGTACTTACCCAACAATATTTGTTTCAAAAATTTGTTGCTTGGAAAAAATACTTGTTTGGAATGAGTCCGTCATCCTATTATTTATTTCTCTCGAAAATAAAAATACAGACCAATTGAAAAACCCCTTGTTTAAAAAGTAAAATATATATATATTCATTTCATGCCCGAAATAAGATTAAATAAATGACTATTATCATTGCATAATTAATTTAAATTTACAAAAACAAAAAATAAAAGGAAAAAGAATAAGTATATAGATTAATTTAATTAAACGACTTTTAATGACAGTGTACATTTAAATCCATGCAATCGTCTGCTTAATTAAACAAATTAAAGTGCGCTAATGTTTATAATTAACTAATAATCTAGAATACCTACAAGATAATTGAAATGGAACGGAATACCGATGACGAAATTAATTCTTAGAGTAAGCGAGTAAGAGGTATAACTTAAAAAATCTTATAAGATCATAATTAGACGCGATCATAAAGTACTTACTAACAAAAATAATATAATTTTTACATGACTAGAATAGATAAGTAGGGTAGGAATGTAGTAATATATTATTTTGCAATGTTTCAACTAGCCATAATTAATCACGCTCTAGATAACAACTTTATTTCAATATTAGTCGTTAAAAATACAAAATTCACAACTTTATTACAATTATAAATATAAATGTACCTTTTGAATACTAGAAAAATAAATTACACTTTATTAAGTAGGTACACTCTACTACAATGTTTATTTAGAGAATAATAAACAGCAAAACTGACTATTTTTAATTTTTGTTAAACACGTATGTCCATAATTTAATTAATTTAATATAATAATAGATATATTAATTATATAGAACAACTATATAATAATTATGTTAATAATAAAATAAAATTGTATGAAATAATAATGAAATAAATTAAAAAAGATTATATAATATCGATAATACAAAAATGTTATAAGAACAAATACAAAAATTTTACATACAGTCCCACCCTCTATGATTTGGTTTTTATTTTTTTGATTCCTAAATAGGAAAGTAATTCAAAGTTAAGTCTACCATATATTCTTAAACAAATTGAGTGCAAATTTAATTTTCTATTTTTAATAGATATTTAAAAAGATTTATCGAACTTCTTTATATTGATTCGGTTTCGATCGTAGCCTATCACTAAACATTGCAAAAATTAAAAAAAAAACTCTTATATCAAAAAGCTACCTATAAAATTTTCTTCAAAAAAAATACATTATTTTATCTATGCGTATAATGTACCAATTATGTACATGTATACATAAATTATAATTACATCAAGTAAACTAACCACTGACTAAACAGAGCGATAAAATCTGATCGCATCTTGAAATTGAGACATTTAACATCATATCTCGTAATACAGATATGCGTTGAGTGTAATGCTCTTCGTCTTGAGAAAAACAACCATTATTACTCTGTAATTATAGATATAAAAAAAATCTAGATTCACTTCACCATTTAAATATTATAGTTAGAAAAGAAATAAGTAGATATATTATAGGACAGGATTGAAATAAAATTGATTATTTACATCACATTTTAACAAAAAAAAAATGCGTGATATTTTAATAATTCGAGTATAATAATGATTAGACATGTTTTGTTATAAATATCACTGGATGCTAAAAAAAAGAATGCATGAGTTATATTTATAGTGGTGATTTTTTTAATCTCATGATTGTGTATCTTGGGTTTTTTGTACATCAATTTTATATCCAATCAATTTATCGGTTATTATAAAAAAGATATTGATTGTGCCAAGATAGCCTCTTCAAGTTAAGATGTTGTTGCAAGTTTGTAACTCGTCTGATAACATTTGATCAAACATTGGACGCGACTTGACGGGAATATATCTTTTTGATCCATATTTATGCTTTTAAATCGTCATAAAGTGAAGGTAAAAATAGGTAATATTCGAATGCGTGTTCAAGATCATGTTATGAGCGATTCGATTCCGTGCGAGCAAAAATAAATTGCTCATTTTACTACTTCCCTGTCATTGGCGCTTTATGCTTTTAGATTCCTTTCCTTACAAATATTTTACGCTGTCAAATACATATACGAATCTATATAATCTATATCTATAGAAGAAAGAGATGGCAAAAATGCATAGATAACAACGGTGCATACTTTGATTAATTAAATATATTTTACGAATATATTTTTAGATAACGTCCATTTAACATATACGTATTCGACGTAATGATTTAATCACAATTCTGTTACGTCAGAAGTCACTTTGCTAAATACTGAATAAAATTTATCCATTTGGAACTAAAGGCAAACGTCTAATTAGAAAATTAATTCCGTCTACATACGGCATTTAAAATTAATAAGTTTTATATTTATATCGAAATTCCGGTTTTATTTCCTAATATACTAAAAAAATATTTACAAGGTCCTATCATAAGCGTAATAAAGTCCTTCCTTTAGTTCCTTATTCTTGTGGTCCTATAAGAAAGAAAACAAGAAATAAATTATGTCTCTTACAAGACTATATTAGGTATGTCAATATCATTAGTAACTTATAATTAACTGACGACAAATAAAGAACTTTAAAAAACATAATACTATTTAGCCTACTTATAATAAATTTTCAATTTATGCAAGGTTTTCAATAAATATCTTCTGTTCCATCCTAAGGTACATCACGGTTTCAAAAGGGAAGGGAAAATGTCGCCAAATCTAAAACAATTATGTAACTTTTGGGTTTACTTGCATATTGCAAAATGCAGCCAAAATTTTAACATTCAACTGACTTAAAAAAAAAAAAAGGTTTTCAATTCAGTTGTATTTTTTATGGTTATCGTGTCATAACTCCATCAGTTATAAATCAATTTGGATAATTCTTTTTCTATCCGAAATGATATACTTCCAGATTGGTCCCATAGGTGTTTTGTCAAAATCGGTTCAACAGTTTAGTTTTTAAATCAAAATAACTGGAAGATGTTACCCAAACGAAAGCAGAAACTTCTTATTCATAAAAACCTTCCAAAAATCCATTTTAACTATTATATTCATTGTTGTGTCACTTTTAAATTGGAAATTTAACTAAAAAACAGAGAAAACATTTAATTACACTATCGGGACTTAAGGCAATGAAAACTTTTTGTACGTATATAGGACCTGCTTCTTATTGCCGACGTTTTTTTTTATTAGACAAAACAATTCAATAGCTAAAATAGGTTTATAGTTTTGTGTTTTTATAAATACCCCCTTATTTATTTCCTTGCAGAGCAAAATGTAACAAAACACACGAGTTAAACCCGTTGAAATCGTTTCTAACTATCAATAAGTTTGCATTTTACTTACAAGGAGAACATAAACACCCATAAACCTCATTCATACATTCTCTGGTAATAAAAGGAAACCGCTAAACTTATCAGTAAACGCTTAGATAAGTAATATTATATTTCATTTCTTATAAATATTTAATGTAGTAGGTAATAAAGACACCGACGCGGCGAAGTAAGCTTTTGTTAATAATACCATTCAGTTTACCTGGCTACTGATATTTTCAACCGACTTCAAGAAAAAGATGATTTTCAATTCGGTCGTCTTATTTTTTATATTTATTACCTCATAACTTCGTTAGTTCTAAACGGATTGTGAAATTCTATATGATCCGAAAGAATATATACTCATATAGATCGGTCCCATAGAAATTTTATTAAAAACGGTTTTTAAAACAGATATAGCATATTGTATGCTACAGTCAAATGAGTTCAATTCGTAGTTTTCTAGTAAGAAACTCCGCTATTCTCACCTCACCCAGAAAAAAAAAACTTGTAAATAAGACATGGTAATAACAGTGGAAACCGATACATTTATCAGTCGTCTAGATAACGTGGCCTCACAGCAGACCTGCGCAGGCGCAGGAGACTTCCTTTTTGCAACATCCGTTACTTTGAGTAATTCTCTAAATAGTTTACACGACTTACTTACCGTTATTGTTTTAAATAATGTCGGAAATCGAATAATTGTAGTAAAACTCTCGAAAGTATTGCTAGAATAAATATATATCGATAATTGACAATAACGTAAAAAATAAACAAGTAATGTTACATTTATACTATATTAGTTTCCGCCCGCGGCTTCGTCCGCTGGAACAGACCGGGATATGTTTACTGACCGGGATAAAAAGTAGCCTCATAATCTTCTCCATCCCATATTATTATTTATTATTATTATTATTTCTCACCACAAACAATTTAGGACTTAATATCTATAACTTGCAAAACATTTTAACAATATTGTTAATATAGTATGTTTATACTAAATTTCATAATCAAGTTAAGTTATTAAGGTGCTATAGTATGTAGGTAGGTAACCGTTTGGCTAGTTGACAAACAAACACATTTTTACATTTGTAATATTAGTAAGAATAAGTTTAATTTTTGCAAAATTCAGAGCAATGAAAGTTCAGTCGATCGAAAGATTTCAAGATCCAGTCTCAACGTATAGATTCAGTTCCAATATTCACAGACTGTGAAATTTTTCCAATCCATGTGATTTGATCTTACGAAATTTATTGTCACTTGCTTTGTATTGTATTGTACCAGAGGGAGATTTTGTACAAAAGTCGATTGCTTGGGTACCTCTGTCCCATTCGTGTTTCTACCGTGAAGCAGTTGTGTTTGCATGGCTGTGTTTCGGTTTGAAGGGTGGGATATGGCGTGAATTTACAGGGTACAGAGGAATAACACCTGAGTCATCAGGAATGGCAACGCATGGGTGGTATCATGGGCGAAACAGTACACTCTGTTATGTCCTGCATTGCTCATGTCTATAGGCGTCTGTTATCACTTTCCATCAGGTGGACCGTCAGCTTGTTTGCCATTCTAAATTGTATAAAAAAAAAATTTATAAATGCAAGCTTATTTATAACGAAGAACAGATTAAAAATCTTTACATCAGAGGGCACTACTCAAACACGAGTATCCAGTTTTGTTTTCCACCTCAAGTGGTGACTAATAAAACAAAACACATTACTACACTAATGCAAAGTAAGTAAATGACGCCGTTAATTCCATATCGTGGCCACATAATATTTACAGAAGAAAAAAAACTCGAGACAAGGAGCAATCACTTAGTGACGTAGTTCGCATATTGCACACAATAAAGTGCGACTCTATGTACACATATTGTATATAACTGCATACGGAGTGCATACCAAGAGTACAGGTTATTAGCACTCATTGTCTGGACTATAATAGGCCGTGAGCGCACGCGCGTATGGTCGCGAGCCGGTTAGGGTGGCCATAAATAATGGATTTAAAAATAGGCATTGTATTTATACTGAGCGATGTGAGATTTAAAATTTCTTTATTAGACAATTTATTGGTTAACCAATACAAAGGTTATTGGTTCGAGAAAATAATTTAGATTTTTTATAAAATTTAGAATTTAGAAAATTACAATTTAGAAAACAAAGTTGTCAGGTCATCCAATGGAAAGTGATAACTCTCGCCTATAAATAAGAATTAAGTATCATAAACTTCATTAGTACTCGTACACTAACATGGCCGTAGTTATTTCTTATGTTACATAGTATAAGAACAAACCTAAATTGTTAAACTTAATTTGTTTTTCTAAGTTTGGCCCAATAAGTAAATAATATTAACGCCAAGATAAATAAACAAGAAATAATATACACAAAACCTTTCCTAAGTATACTAATTGTTTATTTTGTGCATTGTTATTTTAAAAAGATATGCTAAAGTTTGTTCACTAATTATATTAAGCATAGAAAAACAATTTTACACCTAATTAGTGGTTGATGAGTGTTTTAATAATAAATAGGTTTTAGTTGCCGTATCATTTACACATACTTCTAGTTACTGATCTATCCTGTTTAACGTCACGAAACCACATTTTTTACTCATAAGCCATGGACTAAACGCCATTCCGTTGTTTTAGTATGATATATACATATCTGTTTAATTAGTCATGTAACCGATAGGGTTATTGTAACGGAAGAATCAATCCTTTTTAAAATTGAAAAAAAAAGTTGACATTTCGGGATCTGAGATTTAGTTACAATTAAAAATTTATATAAAAATAGAATTATATAAATTAATTAATTCGTTTCGCCCATGATATGCGTTGTTATTTATTAGCCATATCCCACCCTTCAAACCGAAACACAGCCATGCAAACACAAATAATAATTTAATAATAATTAATTCGTTTAGTTATTTATTAGTACTGTATAATAATTTAAAATAATTAATGAGCTTAACAGTGGACCAATATGATCACCTAGGAAACTATGTGAATATGAAAATCAAAAAATAAACACATGAGTTAGCATTATTTCTTTGCCCGACTGTATTTGCGAAGAATATTTATGTTGTACTTTCATTGTCTTTTAATATAACTCACAAAATGTTAACGAATGATAAATGACGTGCTCATTCTCAATGCAAGTAAATAATGTCTCGCGTAGGCGGGTAGTACCTATATAATATATCATTAGATAATTTCATATCATTGATCCAGTAATTTACCCTCACGTTAGTAGCAGGTTTGCTATTTGATTAAGACTGAGGTCATAGAATCGATTTTAGCCGACACCAAAAAGTGGGTCACTTTTATATTTATTATTAGTATCATCATGCCAGTCCATTACGAGTTAGGCAATGAGCTGTATGTCTATGGCTTCTGTTCTTATAGTAATCTCTTATTTCTTCCACTTATATGATTCATTTACCTTAGATGGATATTCCTATAGATTTCAGATCATTATACCGGATTCTAGATCTCCCATAATGCTTACATCTTCCACTACTTCCTCCCCTTCAATTCAGATCCTTAACAGTCACTCTCTAAAAAATATTTTTATTAGTTGTAAATTAATTTGGAGTTTACAATCAGTCCTACATTTAAAATATCAATATCTGGTTTTAATCTCCTAGAATTTAGTGATAATAAGGGACTTTGCTTTTATGTATATATTTTAGAACGTTTCTGAAACAGCCTCAATGACGGATACGTACCAAATGATACCTGACTGATAATTAAGAGATAAGTTGTAGATATAATTTAGGTAGCCCCATTTCTCGTCGATCGGCGATTATACAAAATGGAGGAAACACTGATAACCGATTATGAGTCAATATGCATTCCATTATCACTGTATTTGTTAGAAATTACTTTATTGATAACATACACACGTAGGTACGTTTTATAACATACTCTCAATTAACGATATTATACATCGTTCGATTATATTTAGATTATACAAAAATATTAATTATGATGAAAAAAAAACTGATTATTTTGTTTTTTAGCGTATAATATTTATATTTCTTAATCTGATGTATACACTAAATTAATATAGATGCCTACGTATTTTTTTTTTTTTTTAATTTAATACTACACGTGGCGTTACTCTCGGGAGTAAAAAATTTTTAGGCTGCCTTTGTTTAATAAATGAAGGTCTCTGATGTGGCGTACCGGACAACGACTTTACGTGCCCTTCGATCTACAAAGCAAGTGACAATCATTGTTTTTAAATACTCCAAACAGTAATTTAAAAAAATTGCTTATTTTTATAATTTTTTTAGTGATACATTTAATATATATTGTGATTATTATACACATACCGTATTATTATAAATTTTAAATAAAAAATGGGGAGATTGTTTATTAATAGATTTTTATTTTTTTGTTACCAGGCGTCGACGTGGTCGGACGTCGCGGGCCATGCAGGGCGCCGCTAGCGCCCCCGCGCCTCCCGCGGCCGAGCCGCCATCTTCGCAACGTAAGTATCGACTTATCTTTTACAATTATATCTGCCTCCTAAACAAGGTACAAACGAATCAATCGAAAAAATCGGTTCTATTCACGCTTCCCAATTCTGTATGGTCCAATTCTGATGTGCTATTTCTCTAAACCTATCTAATATTTTAATTTGATGACTTCGCAAAATTACTGTTTTATGGACCATCATAAACTAAAATTATAATCATTTTGACTTTAATCTATTAAAAAATAACTTCATATTAATTCTTGAAATAAAAATTTCAGTGTGATATCAAATTTTAATTTTAGAGATAGATTTAGAGAAATGTCTGGCGCTTTAGAATTGACCTCACTGTCAGTATTAGATATAGATGACTATTTACAATTATTTCAAGTGCTATAACGCTGTTATAGTTAGCTTAAGCGTTGAGTAAAGAATAATCCAGGTCTCGCGATATCAACCAAGCACACAAATAATGATCTTTAATTCATACTAAAATACCAGTACGATATACAAAAAAAAAAAATAGTATAATATGTCCTAAATAGTTACAATGTGATGTCACAATAATGTAGGCCGTTAATAAAAATTTTATTTATTCTTTTCTTCAAAATCTAATGTAGGTAGATAATTTTATTCATTATTTATATAATTGTAGATTCATAAGATTTAATGAATATTTATTAATATAAATTCAATGATAAATAGGAAGAAATATTATGTGACATGGATATTGCTTTTAGAGATAAGAATCATATCGCGTTGCATTATTGTAAGGTGGAAAAACAATGATAAAGGTTCTCCTAATAAGTACAGTCACATGCAATAATTTATAAATATTGTATATTTTTTTATATTTGGCATGTTTAGTAAATAGTAATGACATGAATTTATACAAATTGGTCACTAATAAATATAAAACATAAACCGAAGTAATGAAACCATTACTTATAAAAGTATTTTTATTTCGGTTATATATATAAGTTAAAAAAAAACTACACTGCACTTTAATATACTACCTCACCTTCCAATGATCACGTGTTCGACCTTTATATAGTACCTTCCCATATATCACATTTCATTAAATCAATTCAGCCAATTAACCGTGATTAAAAAGAATCTTAACAAACAAACCTCTTTACAAACTCTTTCATATTTATAATATCAACTACATCCCGTGGCTTCACCCACGTGAATCAGAATATATAATATCCTAATGTACTAAATGAAGAATGTAACGTATCCGTGCACCAAATTTAATTCAAATAATTTCAGTAGTTTTTTTTTACAAACTCACGCTTTTATATAGTAAGTAGTAGAATTGTACATGAGAGTACAAAATTCATATCAAGAGCGATAATAAATTTGCGTAACATCAATGACGTACCTACTATAACTATGCTAGAATAATGTAATCACTAATTGCGTATCATAATGCAACCGATTGCATCTATTAGAAGATATAATTGACGGTTAAAAGTACATTAATTGTTTAGCGTGAGGTCCCAGGTTCGAATTTTAATCAAGATACTAATGATTTTTAGTCAACATTTTTGTTTTATTTTTTAATTATAAAATGTTTATATTTTTCCACATGACTGTACCTACGGATCAGTGGATCTCAATCCTAAAATTAATATTTAACTGTCCTTTTATATAGTTTTAAATACTAGTGTCGAAATTGTGCATATCTATAAAAATGCAAAATAATCAAATTGATCACCAAACACAAACCTCATAATAAAGAATAGTTCGGACATTTAGTCATTATTAGCATTAGAATAGCCTTACCCGTTGAGTAATCTCAGTCACCAAGCAGGAAACTTGACTAAAACTTATACTAAGTTTGAGAACCATTGTTCTTAATATGTCGCTTTTCTCCTTCAGCATCAGGGTAGCTTATTAACCAGGCATAATCATAACTACGTACAATGCAGTCATTTCAGAAAATATACAATAAATTTAATTTTGTATTGAGAAGAGAACGGATAAAAGCTGAGCGCTTCTCCTAAAGATTATAAGGAAACTTGATAAATACAGTCTCTCGATTGACGCATTTGTGACGCAGCCGAGAACTGAATATTGCGGTCCAGTCGCTTACATGGAATACCTACACGTATTTACTATAGTACCGAATTGTGTAATAATAAATAGAAGAATGAAAAATGGCATGCTTGCGACAAGAATCAATGTCGTATACCTAAAACAGCTTTGACTTAGAAGCTACAAGTACTTTGAGGTCCCGTGCGCACATTCTAACTGGCACAATTCGGTCGTCTAATTCTTTTTATTCTTAGTATCATAATTTTATGTATAAATATAATGTATAAATCTAAAGGTATAACTCTTTTTAATACCTAAATTAAGGCCTGTCACACTTTAAAACTGGACATTTTAGTGTAGACTAACTTTTTGCTCGCTACTTCGTACACGTGCATTTTGGAAGTAGGGAAGTCAATGGCATAGCCTACTTTAAGATTAAAGAAGAAACATACACCAATTTTAAGCTAAACCTTCAAGAACACGCAAATGAAAACCGTAACCAATTTGGTCCAGTAGTTTTTCCGTAATGCCAAAACAAACCTATAGACAGACAGACAAAATTTGTTAAAACTATTATTTTAGCACCTATTGCTCTTATTAAAACACCTCACATTAATTGTACAGATGTTGTCATTACAATTTTATTAAATTAGTAAGATGAATGTAATTTTTGAGAAAATTCCATTTACCAGCGAAAATTGAAATATTTGAGACAAACCAACGGAGTCGTTTTGGTAGTACAAGTGGTAACATCACTAACAGAGTAACTGTATAACGTCTAAAAAAATATTCCAAAATTCAAGAAGGGTAAAATTATTCTAAGATCCTATAACTAAATGTCCTGGCTAAAGAACAAAAAACGTTTTCCAAAGAATTCTTGAAATCTTTAAAAACAAAACAATTTTCCTCTACACCGAATGCCATAGACAACTTCCTATTGATCTTTCATTCATCAATGAGTCAATTACAAATTGTGACACTACTTCAAAACAGGACGTGCAATCGATATTGGCAGGGTAATTATGAACGGCCATACGCATCACAACTCGATTCTCCACCGTATGGCGTTATTGTAACCCGAGTGATATGATTGGCACGAGCTGGATCCGACTCCTAAGCATTCTAACGAGCCTCCACAAGTTTTATTGCTGCGTTTAGCTGATAATATTTACGGCTAGGCATCCGGTGTTGCGAAATTATGCTCGGAATTAAGTTATGCAAAATATTCAAGAAAGAGCCTTCAATTTTATATTTCTAAAAATATGTTCCAACGTTTTTGTTTTATTGTTTTTTTTTTTATTATTATTATATTTATTATTCATCTGTCATTGATAGAATGTGTATGCGATAAGTCGAATACGTGACTAATGCTAAGTTTAGCTAGATACATCATTAGCCAAACATCTGTATCAAGTTTGATTGCATATTGAAAATGTTTCATCACACAAATCGATTTCTTAATGGGTATAATGTAATGAAATGATTTACAATACTAACAGGTACCTGACATATCAAGTTATTTCAAAATTTAAACGTAGGCATGTGGACATATTTCATTGTTTGCCCAAATAAATATAGATAAGTAAATATAATCACCGTATGGTCCCGGCATAGACTGGTCCTTCCCCTTTCTTTTCCATAGATGTCGTAATAAGCGACTAAGAGAACTTAACGTTTAAAAGATGGGCAGCAGCGTCCCTCTTAAAACGTCACCACGTCAAGTTACTGAATAGACGAATGTAATGAATAACACAAACGAATGTAAACGATTCAATCGAATATAAATCAATACGATTATTAGTAGTAGATAAAATATTCGATTATAAAAAATAATTAATCAAAATAATTGTATTGATAATCGATACATCGGGTTTTGCATTCATCATGAACGGTTATTGGAGTTAAATCTTACACTCATATCGTATCATTCATTTAATTCTGTTATATTTTTTTATGTCGTGAATGTCACAAATCCAACAAAAAGAGTCATTATGACAATCTTAAAGAATTCAGTTTGTTCAGCTGAAAATTAAATGTGATCGATTAAATCCGTAGAAAGAGAAAATGCCACCGGTATCTTCTATCTCCACTATCCTTAATCTAATATTAAATCAAATATTAGGTAGAATAGTTATTTAAGATATTCTGTTCTAAAAATAACCCAATCGAATAATGTAAATGAAAATAACATATGAATAATTGATTTGTTTAATGAATAGTCATTTATGTACCTATTCTTTTTTTGAATTTATTCACATTCCAAAAAAATTTTTGGTACATTCATGTAGTCGTTGGTATTAAAATTTATATTAGTTCAATTCGATTAAACAATTCGTTTGTTCTTTAATTTAATTCGATTAAACAAATCGACGATCTAAAACGAAGTCACAAGTTACGACACAACGTCCTCGGTGTCACAATTCAAACAACAGTATATCTCATTAGGGACTCATTAAGACAATCCTAAAGAATTCGGTTTGTTCAGCCGAAAATCGGATATCTCGAGAGAGCAAGTCCACATCCTTTTGTGTCACACACACTTGTGTCAATACCATCTTGAGGTCACGAGAGCGGCAGTAAACAACACATGTAAGATACTTTTAGTCTTGGTTCAGCTTCAAATTGATATCTCCCATTCATTTTATTAGTGGATCTTTTTGAATCAATGGAATTTGTAAGAATGATTGTGCTTGTAATTTTGTATTAGTGTTTACCCGCTACCACGACCGCGTTACCGGAATAAATGCATTGACCGGGATAAAAGTAGCATATGTTCTTCTCCATCCCAAATGCTAGGTGTATAAATAATAAATTTTATGACAATTAGCTGAACCGTTAAGATGCCAAATGTGCCAAACAATTTAATAATCTTTCATATACATAAGATTGCTTACAACAAATGATATTACTATTATGATCAACGTAAAAATAAACTTGTTTTTTTTTTATTTTTGCATTGTTTGCCTCTTAGCGTC